CCCCCGCACCTGAGCCGCCACCTGCATGGAGGGGTCCTCTGGGTTTTTGGGGGGGGTGCTTTGTGTTCTGGTTCCCATGTCTTGGGCCCGCCAGCACGCAGCCAGAGCTGCCCTTTGCCCACGGCTCAGCCTGTGCTTTGCAGCGGGTGGGCACATGGGGATGGCAGAGCCCTTTGTGCCATCAGCCTCCTGGCAGGAGGATCATCCCTTGAATCAGAGGGGAGACCCCCAGAGCGGAGCCCTGGCTCTGTGCAGCCCTTTGCCCCTCAGGCAGAGGGGCCGGGCTGTGCTGGTATGGGGGTGATGGCAGGGGGGATGAGAGACGGGATGGGGTTTGGCAGCGAGCAGGGACGCAATGGGCAGATGTCCCCTGCCACGGGCTCCACATCCACCAGTACCAAATGGCTTTAACAGTTGTTTGTGGTTTATTTCTTAATGTGAAGTCTTGGGAGCAAATTCCCCTCTCAGAAGGGCTGCATATGCACCGGCATCTCCATAGCAGCCCCGCTCCATGCTGGCTTCGGCAGGGAGATGCCGCCCTGGTAGTATCCTCTGCCGACTTCTCTGGGACCCTGGTAGTGTCCTCTCCCAGCTTTGTCAGGGAGATCCTCTGAGAGGATGCTGGAAGGATGGAGACCATCCCAGGCTCTCTCCCGGCCCTGTCTTACTGCCTCAAGCAAAGTCACCAGCTTTTGGCAGCAAAAGTGTGGGTATGGGTGGGGGGGAAAGGGGGCTCCCCTCCTAAATCCTCTGTTTTAGCATAGGGGGGAGCAGTAGTGTCCTGAAAACGCCCAGCTCCTTTTGGCAGGGAGGCACCGATTTTTTCCACGAGTGCTTTTGCATCCTACCTGTACCTCGGTCTGGTGGCAGCACCCAGCTGCCTGGTGCAACCGGGGGACCCTGCAAGGATGCAGAGGGGCTGCGAGAGCTGCATTTATGGGGGGAGACGGAATGCAAACGGGGGGGCTGCCAATGCTCAAGGATGCCTAACCCTTTAAAGGGGCTGCCCACGCAGCCCAATACAGTTAGGCATCCTAGAGCCCCTTGCGACTGCCAGTGACGCCAGTCCCGGGATCCCAGCTGCCACCGTGCTTGCTGCCGCGCCATCCCCGCAATTGGTTGCAGCTCCTGGCAAGAATGTGGGCAGCAGCTGGGGCTTTTCTCCTCTAGCGTACCTGCGCAGGCAGGCAGGTGCCAAGAGCAGGTTTTTTTGGGGTGAAAAGCAGCGTTTTGGGGGTCTCAGGAGGGCAATGCACATGAGCGGCATGTTCCTGCGATTGGTGACAGTGTGCACGAGTGTCTTGGCGTACCTGGCACAGCACCAGCACGGAGGTGAGGCGGGATGCGCGGGACCTCATGGCATGGTACATCCCACTTCAGCAGCCGGCTGCCTGCACCTCACTGGCGCTGCCTGCGCAGTGGTCTCAGCCCCTGAAACGCTGCCAGCGCCGTGGTGCTACGTGCTGTTTGAACACGCCGCCGTGGGTTTGCATGATGCGGTTTGGGCTGGTGGGTCCTGTCCCTGCTCCCACTTGATCCTGCTGGAACAGAGTCGGGGCTGAGCCCCATCAGGCTGTGGGAAGCACTTTGGGAAGAGGGGGGAAAGGGGGGGGGGCAGCTTCTGGGCCTGAGGATTCCCCCGTCCCTGCTTGCTGTGCTGCCAGCAGCCAGGAGAACATCAGCCATCCTGGGGCAGCATTAGAGAAATAAGTAGATTTGTAGGAATTTTGTGCCCTCCTGTGGAGACTGTCAACATCAGGTTCCCTCCAACTGGGATAGAAGCTGCTCCCTGCTGTCCCCAGCCCCTCAGGGTAACAGGGGAGACCCCTGCATGCATCCCAGGGGTGAGCCCTGGGGACCCTGGGGAGGGGAAAGCCCCGGGGAGGGGCCAGGAGGGGGAGAGCGGCTGGGCTGGAGCGCTGAGTGCCACCCTGGCTGTGCCCTCCCCGCTGCAGGCGGGTGGTGGGACTTACCATGAGAGGGCACCCGTGCCCTGTGCCTGCCCAGCGTGCCAAACTCGCTGCAGGAGGGCTGGGGGGGGCTCTGGGGCACCCCCATCTCCGCTCCTCTTGCAGCAAGAGCCAGGGCCTGGGGCAGCCAGGCAGGAATCGGGGCTCAGTCCCTGTTCCCTGGGGAGCACCCCTGGGCCGGCATTTCACCGCAGCGTTTCACCCACCCACGGTGCCGGCAGGGTCTGGCCATCGGTGCCAGGCTGTTTGTGCCCCAGAAACATTGTGGGGTGGCAGATGTGGCATCACCAGAGGAAACCTTGGCTGCCAAACAAAACAGGGGTGCGAGGGGGGTTAGTACTGAAAGGGAACTTGGTACTAAAGCTGGCGTACATGGGAGCAGCACGGCCCGGGTGCTGCTGGCAATTGCAGAAACCACAAATGACACAACTGCCTTGGTTTGCCTTGTGCTGCTTCGCACGGCGGGAGGCTCAGAGCTGCTCCCGCTGATTTTCCAGCTTTTTTTTTTTTTTTTTTTTCTTTTCCCACTTCCCTGCAGTGGTTTCTTTCTTTAAAGAAAAAATTAAGAAAGCCAGGCTATCTTCAAAGTACAGGGAAAATGGAGATGCCTTATTTGTGGGTCTGTGCACCCTGTTACCGGCAGCCCCAACGCAGCCTGTTCCCCCAGGCCTGATGGTGACACACGTGGGCATGGGCAGGGCTGCGCCCTGGGTCCCGTGGGAATAGGGACGGGCCTTGCACTGGGTACAGCAGGGTGCTGGTGCTGGGCTGTCCCCTCGTGGGCACCACGCTGTCCCCATGGGGTGCAGGGCTGTCCCCATGAGGCACCAGGATGTCTCCCTCCCGGGCACCACGCTGTCCCCACGGGGCACCGGGCTGTCCCACTCGGTCCCACGCTGCCTGCCCTGCCCAGTGGGATCGCCTGGCCCCGTGTCTGCCCCCCGGC